GCTACTGAGCACTTACTGTGTGGTCGGTCCTTCTTAACTTATGTAGATACTTTCACCGACTTCTCATAAAAAGTTTCCTTCTATTAGCTAGAAGGGAGAGAAAACCAGTCATCATTTACTTTATAATAACATTAATAATAATAATAATAATAGTTATTATATATGTCAGTTATATAATATATGCCAGAGCCAGGCCCTGAATTGAATATTTTCTTTCACGTAATCTTTAAATGAAATCTATAAGTAGGTATTATTATTATTATTACCATCATCATTGTCATCATCAGGCAGTCTGCTCCGAAGATTTTTCTCCGTCCTGGTATTTACATCCTGTACCATGTATAATTCCCTCTCCTTTAGTGTGGGTATATCTCATGACGTGTTTCTAACTAATAGAATGTGACTAAAGTGATGGGATGTCACTTCTGTGATTAGATTACAAAAGACTACGCCTTTTGTCTTGCTAGCAGCGTTTCCCTTGCCGGCCCTTCCTCTTGCCCTCTTGCTTGCCTGCTCTGATGAAGCAAGCTGCCGTGTTTCAAGATGCTCATGGATAGACCCACCAGACAAGCGCTGAGGGAGGCCTTGGGCCAATAGGTCCAGATATGGAGAACGAATATCGTTTTAAGCTTTGGGGTAATTTATTATGCAGCAAAAGAAAACTAAAAATATTCTATTTGGTAGATGAAGACATTAACGCTTAGGGAGATGAATCAACTTTCCCAAAGTCACACAGCTAGTAAATGGCAGAGCCAGGATTTGAACACATTCAGGTTCAAGAGTCTGAGTTCAAGTCTACTTTTTTTTTTATGAGATTTCAAGCGATTGGGAAACTGGAGTTCTAGAAGACATTCTGTTTTCTGAAATCCTTGGAGTATAGCCATGTTTCCAGGAAATTCTTTGTATGTGTGTAAAACGGGGAGACAAAAGTTCAAATGATGCTAAGTACTTTGGCCCACTCCCTGTTGCAAAAGAATGGCTGGTCCACCCATAGATCTGGTGATAGTAACTAAGGGCTCCATTCAATAGCACAAAGGCAGCTGAGAGCGGCAGCCCATCCATTTTAGAAGCACCCAAGCCATCTTACTTATAATATGCAAGGTGAGTAGAAGGTATGGTGTCTATTGGAAAAATCACATGAGCCTTAGAATTGGAAAGCAAATGATTCTGCCTGAAAGAACACTCTCTTCCACTAATCTATTTTTTTTTCTTCTTCCCATCCTTGAACTTTGAAACCACAGTGCTCTTTGTTCCAGCATGCAAAGCAGCCTGGCACGTCCCCGTGCTGGAAGGTCCCCAATTTGGGATGGTAAATACATCTTCTTCCAGATAGCTTTCCTTTGTTCATCCAGAGCTTCATGCCAGTGGTCACCTTTATGAAATCCAATGAAGATATACCCAGTTGGCTGGCTGCATGAGTGTATCTTTTCTTGTCAGCTTTGCCCTGGTGCCAGAACAGCAGGCTTTGAACTCAGGGAGGATTTCCAGGTAGCAGTAGAGCAATGGTCCCATAGGGTAGCGTTCTGGCATGGTTCTCCTTTCAACCAGTGGCGGAGGCTGGTATAATTGTGCAACCTGGAGTAAAGTCCACAGCCAGGGAAGTGGGGTGAGACTCTAAGCTGGCTCAGCACTCTGGCCTCTTGATTTTCTTTTTAGCTTTCTTTACCCTCTTTACTACTGGTTTTCTCTTTCCTCTCATCTC